ACACCTTTAGTTCTAGCACTGGAGAGGCAGAGGCAGGCTGATCTCTGTGAGATTGAGGCCAGGCTGGTTTACATAGCACATTCCAGGCCAGTTGATAAAATAAAAATAATAAATATTAAAAAAATAAAAATAAAAAAGGAAGTGGTTTAATTTAGGAAATAAATAATAGTTAATTGAGGGCAATGTATTCTATTAAGGGGAATTTTGTACTTGTTTATTTTCACTTTGTGCTTGAAGAATAATTTCAGACATCTTCCCACAGTACCCTTGTTTTGACATAGTGTGTCTAAAATAGTGTGTTCCTCTTTAGAATAAGATAGACACGTCTTTATTTTTAAACATTTCATGGTTGTTTTCCGGTATGTGTCCTACAATGCCATGATTTTAAAATTTGTATTGGAGATTTTCAGTCTGTATAATGTACATATTTATTCTTAAAATCCAAAATTTCAACTTGGGAAATATACCCCTTCCTTCAAGTACTGTGATCTGAATTCTGTTTCTAATGTTCTTAGTCTATTCTTCTGTAGTACTGGAAAAAAGTGGTAATTTCTACATTTCTCAAATGAAATCATTGTTACCTTTATCATACAATCAATAGAAAGTTCACAATAGGCCATTTTAAATTTTAGAATCTTTATGTTCTTTCCATGTTTTATAAACCCCATGTCTCATTTACTTCACTAATATTTACAGAATAACCATACAACCACCTGTGCGTATTTGACTGAGTTTTTTTAACCTTAAAAGTGTCAACTTCCTTGTCTGTAAAATGAAGAGAATAGTGTGATTTATAGGATTCCAAGGGGAATTACTGACATTCCTTTTCATTGTAATTCAATAAAACAGCTTCTCTTAAGAAACAGTCAATGAAATAGTCAATAAATGGTTAACAATGACGCTTAGCCATTCCAGAAACCGTCACCATTGGGTTTCTGTACTCTTGTTCTCTGCCCACAGATGACCCCACATCCATCATTTTTTTTCTCATTCACACACAGACACACGCACAGACACACACACAGACACATACACAGAAACAGACATACAGACACACACACAGACATATACCCCCCCACGTACAGATACACATACTTGTACACAGACACACATACACACATCCATGTTAGCAATCTTGAGGGGAAAATATTACAAAAATGGCAAAATGAGGGATTTTCCATTATTCTTCTCCCTTTTCACTCATCCCGGTGGAAAGAGTGGTCACTACTTTAGTCAGCAAGTACCATATTCAGAGCAAATCGTGACAGAGGGACTGTTTCAAAGAGGAGAAATGCTTTGCATGTGCTAAGGTAGAAGGTTGGTTAAGACTCAGACATACTTTTTCTTAATTTTCTTTTCTGAGAAACTTTGTAATATATTTCATTATACCATTCATACATGTATCAGGAATTGGTATTATTTTAGTTGTGCTAATTTGGACCAAAAAGTATTAAGGCACTATCAATTAAGCCAAATATAACTTGAATTACATTATTGATTTCTGCAGGAATTTAAAACTGTTTAAATTGAGGAGAATTTGCTCTCTTTCCATTGCAGGCAAACCTCCGTTACTACTCTTAATCCTTATTTACAGCTGTATCACAAACACAAACTAGTCTCTTGACGTTCACGGCAGTAGTTCTAATTCTAACGTACCTTCTTGCCACAGTTCTTTCCATTCCCTTCACACGCTATCTAATGGAATAGGTTCTCTAGGAGTGATCATTTTTATGGAAAGACAAAAGATTGGGATATAACTAGGAGTTCAAGAAAAAATCCATTTTTTAAATGGAGAACAACAAATGGGAATTCTCAAGTATCTTCTTGCTTTTATCAATGCTGTATATTAATTGACTATTTTTGTGTCTATTAAGGAGCAGCCTATACTGTTCTGATAGTCCATCTATTCATCCTGTATCTGAGCCCAAAGACTGTGACTTGCAGCAGGATGGCTTTTATGAATGCGTTTTCCAGCCAATCTTCCTGTTATCTGGCTACACAATGTGGATTAGGATCAACCATTCATTGGGTTCACTTGACTCTCCACCAACGTGTGTCCTTCCTGACTCTGTAGGTATGTCAGTGCATGTTGTGCATTTCTTTTAGTAGATTTGGATGTCCGTTGATTCAGGGCTAATGTATTTTATCATTAGTTGATCACACTGGATTTGAATAAATTTGTTTCTGCTTGCAGAGGAATTGAGAAGATGATTGGCCTTACTTAGGATGTTTTATAATTTGGAGTCTATATTATTATTTTGCTTTTTATTTCATTTATAGCATATTTGTTTATTCATGTGGATGATATACTCATAGCAGCTGGACAGTTCGGTATTGTACTTAATAAATTGCACAGGTCACTGTGAGTGCACTTAGTAACTTTTTCACAAGTACTATAAAATATCTTTCTAGTATAGTTTGAAAACTTTAGATATTTTAATCTGAAAGTTTAAATTGGATAATCTACTGTCTTTATAATCTGAGGAGAGATAATTCAAGGCTTTAAGATTGTATAAGAGAGACATTGAATATGTCTAAAGGAAGTGAAGAAAACAGATGGAAATGGTGATGTCTATCATGACGATATTTAAAGAGCCTTAGAGAAATTGGAGATGCTCCTCTAATGTCATTATGGAATTTTTGAGAAATGACCCTTTTATGATTATGTAACAGGAGTTAAAGAATATCTTTTGTTGCTATACACTATTATGTTGGGAAACTATGACAAAAATCGATGTATTTTTCCATTATTTTTTAAGTCAATCAGCACACATTTGAAGTAAAATCTGTATTTTGTTAAATGTGAAAGGAACTTGCTTTAACTATGAGATTTGCTTTGCAACATGAACACCCAATTCATTATCTCTTCCTTTGTGTAATTCCATAGTAAGTAGTTCTACTGCGGTTGATACTTTTGTGTTATTCAGTATTCCAGGGTAGCAAAGAACCATCAACACTCACATGTATGTAGGACAAATGCAACATGGGGTTACTGACATGCTGTTTGAATAACAGTGGGTGTTTTAAAAATATTTTATTTATTACTTTTGTTTTATGTGTATGTGTGTATTGCCTGCACCCATGTCATACAATGCCTGCGGAGGTCAGAAGAGACTGTCAGATCCCCTGGAACTGGTGTTACAGACAGTTGTTAGCTGCCACGTGGGTGCTGGGATTCGAATCCGGGTCTTCTGCAAAAACAATCAGTACTCTTAACCACTGCACTATCTCTCCAACCCCTAACACTGGGTGTTTTTTGCTTTCCAAAACTGAAACTGAGAGTTTAAATCAGGCTCATGTTGCCTTAATAAGGGAGCAATGTAGAAACTGAGTTTTAGGATCTGAATATCAGTTCTATCTCTTCCTAGCTTTTATTTTTTTAAAAACTATTTTATTTATTATTTTTATTTTATGTATATGAGTGTATTGCCTGCATGTATGTAAGTGCACCCATGTCGTGAAGTGCCCACAGAGGTCAGAAGAGGACATTGGGGCTCCTGGAATTGGAGTTATGGACGGTTGTTAATGGTGCTGCGAACTGAACCTTGGTTCTCTGCAAGAGCAGCCAGTGCTCTTAACCGCTGAGCCGTCTCTGCAGCCTTCTTCCTAGCTTTTAAAAGTTGGACTAAGTACATAACCATTCTGTACCACTCATAAAAATGTGCATACTTCCACATATGTGTGGAAGTATGAAGAGCGTCACATACACTGCTGCTCAACAGTCACTGAATCTATCCATGTGAGCCAATGAAGTACAGTCACAAAATTAACTCTTATGGTCTCTCAAACAATGGTATTTTCTTTCTTACTGGACTTGTGATGAATACCTTCTTGAACTATGAGAATTTAATGGTCATGAGAAAGTACATATAAGGACAAATTTTGAATGTCTTTTACTGAATGGTCTAAAGTAATCATGTTATTGCTTAAATGATTAAAAAGTGCTGCACAAGCAGGAGACCACAGCTTTTACATGGTGGCTGCTATTGTGAGATTTGGAGGAGGAGAATGGTGGCCAACCCGCACACTGTGCCAACCCAGAGAGCATTTATTCCATATAATCAACAGTGCTCAGACTTACAAGACTTGAGGAATCAGCAGATCAGTGATGTAGATCAAGAGCGTCTCCAGTCAGTTCTTCCTGACTGTCCCCCACAGAATGCCTGTATGTGGCGTTAGTTAGCGGTTTTTCAATCTGTGGGTTGGTGGGCTTCTTTCCATTAGCTGACAAACTTTCCCTTTCTGCCACTGCATTTTGTACTTTGTATTCCAGGAAAGGGCCGTTTCTCTTTGAGTTGCCCACTTGCAAAGGTAACCATCAAAATAATTTCCAAGAAAAGGGGGCATTCCAGTCATCATCCTGGGGGCCTCTGCTCTAAGTGGTGTTAACCTGCTAGATGCCGAAACTTGGCAGACGTGGAGAGGAGTGATGTGATCTGGGATCAGAGGGGGTACTTTCAAGAGAACAACTCTTTTCTAGTTAGCGTGGAAGAAACATGTTAGCAATGTGTTTGGCTTGCCAGCTGGGCCCGTGCTTCTCCAGAGTTCTGCGCTTAGTGCAGACGATCAAGGCTGATGGGACATTGCGAAGTTGAACATTGCCTGGAGTCGCGACACAGTGAGGCACTCCAGAGGATGGAGCTTCCAGGCCGAGTTAGACATGTCACATTTCCACGTTGCCTTTTTATTGTTAGGAAAAGTGGCCCTCAATGTGAAAAATTAACAATATTGGGAGAAATGTATGTATTATACATAAGCCCTGAGGGCATCAGCAGAAAAGGACAATGAGCAAACCAAACTCTTCTTTGTATTTCTGTGTTTTTATACACTGTCTCCAACAATGTCTTATTCACATATTTATATTTTAAGAACCATGTTAAAGAACCATATGCTGTCCAGGTCTGTTTGCTTCTGTTTGTGCTTATTAAAAGCCTGATTCCCTCAGATTATAGGAACCGAGATTTTAATAGCTCAGTCAGCAGGTATTCTATGACCTTGCAGAGTGACATGGATAATGGACTCATATATTTTCTTCAATTAACTTTTTTGTTTGCAAAATAGAGCTGAGTTTTTTCCCTTAGGTGTTACACAGGGCGATAATGGATATAATTAGACAGTGAATGAAAAAAATATATTGCTATAGAAATATGAGGTATACAAATATAGTAGCATTATGTTATTATTGCTGTTTAAGTTACTATTACATAATATTGTTTTTAAAATTTCTAGTAAAACCTCTACCTCCATCTAGCGTGAAAGCAGAGATTACTGTAAACATTGGATTACTAAAAGTATCTTGGGAAAAGCCAGTCTTTCCAGAGAATAACCTTCACTTCCAGATCCGATATGGCTTCAATGGAAAAGAGATGCAATGGAAGGTATCTAGAACTTGGGATTTTTTTCATTTTTTCCTCCACCTCTTTCTCTTTCTTTCTTTCTTTAATTTTTGAAACAGGGTCTCATTCTGTAGCTTAGGCTGAACTTGAAGTCGCTGTGTACTGTAGCGCAGACTGGCCTTGAATTTGCCTCCCAAGTGCTGGGATTACTACATGTTTTTTTGTTAGTACATATTAACTATACTTAGTAATGGGTTTCATTATGAGATTTTCACATGTGTCTATAATGTATTTTATCATATTCACCCCCATTACCAGCCCCTGCTCCTAACCCTCACTGCTATGATCCTTTTCCTCTTCCAAACTAGTCCTCCTTCTTATTTTATGTCTTTCCTGAGGGAGGTGACCCAATGACTTTAATTGGGGCTGCTTGCAGGCACATAGGTAAGGGATTTTTTACAGGAACACGGGCAGCTTACCAGTGACTACACCACTCAAGATAATGTCTCTTCCTCCCCCAGCAACTATCAGTTGCTTGTAAATCCTGAGGTAGAGGTGGGATCTGGCAAATCCCTCCCCACCCATGACAGGACTGCTCATGGGCCCAACTTTGTTCATGTCTCATGCAGATAATCACAGCTGCTGAGAGTTCAAGCATGCAACACCATCTTATAATGTTCAAGAGTTTGGTTGCATCAGATTAATGCTATTGACATACAAATAGTGTTTTCTCCTCCATGATGTAGCTGTTTTCATTACTTACATTATCAAAGTCTTAACCCTTGTAAGGAACAGACATTTCTTGATCCATCATTTCCCAAAGGATACCCCATAGGACATTAGTTTCATAAAATGCTCAGGGAAAAAAGATTACATGGTTAAATAGGTTTAGGAAGCCCTACTTCTCTGTATCTTTCTAGTGTAGAGATGTGGTTTATTATACAAAGCTTTGGAGACATCCTGCATTGAAGACATATTTGACTTTATTTTATTCTTTGTTTCCAAACTCATTTTTTCAAGGAGTGACCTTTCTTCTAAGTTTTATCAATATTTTTCAGCATACACATGTTCAATGGGGATGTATTTTTAAAAAAGATTTTATATGTTTTTATTTTCTGAGTGTTTCTGCATATATATACATATATATATGTACCAGGTGTGTGCATGGTGCCCACAGAGTCCAGAAGATTGCATTGGATCCCCTGCAACTGGAGTTAAGGACTGGTGTTAACAAGCCATGTGGGTTCTGAGACTCAAACCTGGGTCCCCCGAGTCATCTCTCTAGCCCTCAATTGGATGCATTTTGAAAGAGGCTACTTTTCTTAAACAATTACAGCATCAAATGTGCATATGATGGCTTTCCATGTCAATTTTACAGGAGCAGTTGGATAAGACTAGAAATATAAGAAACTCCAATTATGCCATTAGAACACAGGGATTTCAGTTACAATGTCTGAGAGTCTTATCTACTTGATTCTCTGTCTAACCATCACTAGAATTCTGAAGCCCCTGCAGAGAGGGGATTTGAGGACAAGGATCAGTAATAGGGTAAGAGAGTTTTTGGAAATGGGGTTGCAAGTGAAGCAGGCCAGATGCTTGTTATTAGCGAAGGAATGACCAGATGTATAAGGCAGTACTCACCTTAAGGGACTCGGGCCACGCTTTCTGTACTTCTGAAGTGAGAACACAAAATCACTTCTCCCTTAATGTTGGAATAGTGTTAAGGTTCAAAGTCAAAAGGCATTTCAGGGCCCAATAGCTGCATATGTATTAACAGTGTGACTCATTTTACAGATGCATGAAGTATATGATGCAAAATCAAAGTCTGCCAATCTTCCGGTGCCAGACCTATGTGCAGTCTATGCAGCTCAGGTGCGCTGTAAGCGGTTGGATGGACTGGGGTATTGGAGTAATTGGAGCAGTCCAGCCTACACGGTTGTCATGGATGTAAAAGGTCTGTGAGCATTTTGTAAATGTGTCTTGAAAGTGCAGAAATGTGCACTTCAAATATGACTAAAAACATTGTATCAAACGTGTACAATCTGCACTCCTTGTCATTTTACAGCTCCTTTAAGAGGACCTGAATTTTGGAGAGTAATTAATGGTGATATTACTCAAAAAGAGAGAAACGTCACCTTACTTTGGAAGGTATTCCGATCTTTTACTTTATTCTTAAATTACACTTCTATATTCTTTGTTCAAGATAATCTAGGAAACAAACCATATCAGTCCTCTAAACCTTGGATCTGAAGCTGGAGAAAGGTTTGCCTAAGGGTATAGAATCTGTGCAGTCGATATGTCCCAAGGCTTCAGGATGAGTGTAAATGCATGAAAGGTATTAAAAAGAAACAATTTATGGTCTGACAGAATGGCTGAACAAGTAAGGTAAAGTGCTTGCCACCAATCCTGATGACCTGAATTTGATCCCCAGGACCCAGGTGAGAGAGTTTTTGGAAATGAGGTTGTAAGTGAAGCAGGCCAGGTGCTTGTCATTAGCAAAGGAATGACCAGATGTATAAGGCAGTACTCACCTTGAGGGGACTTTCAGGGGAAGGGGAGAAATGACCTGATTTGACTCGCTGAAATAGCTTCAGGAGCTGTGGTTGTGGTTTCTCTCTTTCTGTGCTGTATTCTTTGGAATGAAGTCACTGCGTGCAGCTTCTCCTTGAGGATTAAAAGGTTTCTCCTTGGAGGTGGAGAATTACATATATTAGTTAGCCTTCTCATGGCAGACTTTTATGTCCTCTCATATTTGTTTATTCAATAATTTACATGTGTGGACTGTGAATATTTATTTATACTTTAGGTCATAATCCTGTATGGGCTGAGTGTTTTTTTTATGCTTCGAAGAATTATTATTATTTTTTATTTATGTATATATCCGCCAGGCAGCACCCTCCCATAGCCTCCCTCCCTCCATTAGAGCCCTTATACTCTGCCTATCTAGAGGTCTTTGTTTCAGGAGGGTCAGCTGTTCCTCATCTAGCGTTAAGAGTGGTTTTTTTAACCAGGAATATTTCAGCTTTTACAGTCTTTTGGATTTAGAATACTTGCATAATTTTTAACAGTTAAGAATTTCTAATAAAAATCTGAAGTGCGAAATGCTCCAGACCCCTGAAACTTCTTGGGTGTCATGTTAACATTTCACAAGCTTGGGATTTTAGCGAATTTTGGATGTCAGATAGTTAGATCAGAGCAGCTCAAACTGAACTATTTTGTTTTGTTCATATTTTTCCTACTTCAGTCATTAGAACCTCTTTTGATTGACCCATGTCTCTTTGACATGTCCCCGTCATTGCACTATTTTCAAAATTAAAAGAAACTTTTACATTTATTTATTTATTGTGTGTGTTTATGTATATGTGTGTTGTATGTTTAGGCATGCATGTACACAGTGGGGGTCAGAGGAGAACTTTCAGGAACTGGTTCTCTCTTTCTCCCACGTGGGTCCTGGGGATAAAACTCCAATCATTCGGCTTGATGGCAGGAGCATGTACACTGAGCGCTCTCTTCAATCCAGTTTTCAATTCTGAAGTGCTATGAGGTTGAACTTTATTAAAATAAACAATTCTGACCCGAAGAGACTGTCAAGAGAATGACCAAGTGATTATACCTAGGGACTCTGCAGTTTCAACAACAGGAAAACAAATAACCAAGCCAAAACACGGGAGAAGCATCTGAGTAGCTGCCTCATCGAAGGAGACACACAGATGACAAGTGAGAATATTAAAAAGATGCTCAACATTACTCGTCATTAAGTATTTGCAAAGTAAAAAGTAAACATTAATGAGATGCTACTCCATGTCCATTAGAATGGCTAAAGGAAAAAGACAAATTTCTGTTGCAGAGCAGCAAGAGACTGGATTCAGTGCTGGTGGAAACACAAACTTGTATAGTAGCTTTGGAAGTCAAATGTAGCGTTGCCATATGATGGAACATTGGGTGGTTTGAAAACCTTTTCCTCATAAAATCTTGCACATGCTTTGTTCAAACAGCATTTTTCATAATCATTGTAAACTAGAACAAACGTTTATCCTTCCAAAGTGAGACACATCCGTGGAACACTAAAGTGGTAGGGAGACAACACTATACATTTGTCCAAACCCATGAACTTTACAGCACAGAGTGAACCTTAAAGCATTCAGATTGTAGGATACAAGGACGAAATGCAGATTGTGACAAAGCTATCTCCATCACAGGTATATGAAGTAGCCTCCCTGGAGGTGGCAGGGAACAGGCCTAAGTAGCTTTGGAAATGAGTCTTCAGAATGAAAGTGGGAGACACTACATAAACACTGCAGGGTTGCGCATTTCCTACATGGATAGAGGCTAATGATTATCATACCAGTATACCTGTATCCTGGAATAGAAACACTGAGGAAATGAATGGAGGATGGTGAGCACAGGATTCTTAGTGCTCTTCTTAGGAGACTCTGGACAATAAAAAATGTAGCCAGAATGGTTCTTGTGAACGTAGTAGAGTTGGAGATCAGTATAAACTTGCATTAAGCTTAGATGGTTTCTTTTTTTCCCAAATATAACTCATTTTTTAATTTGTTGATTTTTTTGTGTATTTCATACAGAACATCCAAAACAATCTTATTCATCTTTATACTCACATCCCAAATGGCACCCTCCTGTAGTCTCCCCCACCCCCTCACTGGAGCCCATACACTCTGTCATCCCTGTTACTGTCCACTTTGTCCCCAGCCGTTCCCCAGTGCTAGTCCATCCGCTGAGTCTAGTCAGCCTATCTAGAGTTCCTCTATTTAGGAAGATCAGCTCTTCCTCATCTAGAAGCAATCAATTGCCAACATTCCTTTAGATAAGATTGGGTCCGCTGTTCATTTTTCCAGTTCTATGGTTGGTTACTGTCTGGGAGTCTCTTGGGCCACCCTGGTCAACAACTCAAAGGAAGGTATCTCCTGTCTGGCATTGTTTCTTATTATGTAGCCTTTAGCTATACACATGGACTCTTACAGAATTATACTGATCAATTTAATCTTTGGTTATACTTTCCTTTTGGATATTTAAGACCATACAGTTGGCCCAAATAAACCAATTTATTTTTACTCTTAAGGTCATTTGAGCATCTGTTCCTCAGGGGTCACATGGGCTTCGGAGGAGCCCCTGGCCTCTTTCTTTTACCAGTTCCATCTATGTGGAGATGTCAAAGGTCCTGCTCACTGTGCCTGGCTTCACTTGGAAGCTTGGAGGAAATGTTTCCTCTGTGTTGACCTTCCTCTTTGTAGACTGGACACTGGTTCAAGTCCATCTTGTGATGTCTCCACGGCCTCCTTGATGAAGAGGATAGATGATTCACAACAGTTATAGGACATTTTGAGAGATGCTTCATAGTCCCCTGGAACTTAGTCGACCTTGGAGGGCAAGGAACAAAAACTGTCCTTTAAGTCCTTCTGACCAGACTAGTATAGGCCTCAAAGTATGGCTGTTAAACATCAAGGTTAGTTCCACCAGTCTGGTATTTTAAATTACCAGGTGCCATGTCAATAAAGCTTGGGCAAACCCCAAACATTCTCAGATAAACCTTGACTAGACATATATTGTGTTCCTTGAGGTAGTTATATGTATAATTTGTCAGTAGGTTGTTGGACTAATATGGTTCTCTCTGTTTTTTTAAAATTACCTAGGCATTATTTATCTCTCTCATTGTCTAACACTTCCACCATGGTGTCCCCATTTCCCTATTTCTCCCTTGATAATATCTCTTCTCCTATGGTCTCTTCTTGAGCTTCATTCCCTTTATCCCCAATGTTCCTTGTATAATGCTTCATCCCTCCTCCCATTAAAATAACCCCATTTTAATCCATATCTCCCTTATAAACACCTGTTTCCTACTGTTCCTCTCTTTCAAGTTCTTTCTTTTCCTTTACCTCCCTGCTTCCTTTTCATTATCCTGGTTTCTGTAGTTATGTCTGGATATATACTCACCTGTAAGGATTTGGTGCTAGGATCCACATATGAGGGAGAATGTACATGGTTTGATTTTCTGAGTCTGTGTTACTTCACTTAGTATGACAGTTTCTAGTTCCATCCATTTACCTGAAAATTTCATGATTTCATCTTTCTTTATTGCTGAGTAAAGTTCCATTGTATAAATGAACCACATTTTCATTATCCACTCGTCAGCTGAGTGACACTGGGTTGCTTCCATCTCTTAACTATTGTGAAATGACCAGCAACAACATGGATGTACAAGTGTCTCTGCAATAGGATGAGTTCCTTGGGTATATGCCAATGGGTAGTATAACTGGGTCAAATGGTACATTCATTTGTAGTTTTTATAGAGTTCACACTGCTTTCCATAGGGGTTGAACAAGTTTGCAATCCCACCAGCAGTGGTTGAGCATTCCCCTTTGGCCACATCCTCTCCAACATTTGGTATCATTTGTTCTCGTGATTTGAGCTGGTCTGACTGAGGTAAGATGAAATCTTAAAGTGGTTTTAATTTGTATTTCCCTAACTACTAGTGATGTTGAACACTGTTACAGATGCTTCTTAGCCATCTTTACTTCTTTATTTGAGAACTCTCTCTTCAGCTCCTTAGCCCATCTTTTAAGTGGGTTAATTCCTTTCTTGATTGTTTTTTTGAGTTCTTTATATACTCTGAATGCTAAGCCTCTGTCAGATGTGTTGCTGGTGAAGATTTTCTCACAGTCTGTGGATTTTCTCTTCATTTCCTTCGTTGCTTCTTTTGATGTACAGAAGCTTTTTAGTTTAATGAGGTCCCATTTGTTGATTCTTGACTTTGTTTCCTGAGCAATAGATGTCTGGTTTAGAAAATCTTTTCTATACCTGTATCTTGCAGGTTATTGCCAATGTTTTCTTCTAACAGTTTGAGAGTTTCAGGCTTCACATTGAGGTCTTTGATCCATTTGGAATTGACTTTTGTGCAAGGTGAAAGATAGGGGTTTAGTTTCATTCTTCTACAGGTGGAGATCCAGTTTTACCAGGACCTTTTGCTGAACATACTGTCTTTCCTCCAGTGAAAGGTCTTGGCCCTTTTGTCAAATATCAGGTGGCTGAAATTGTATGTACTCATATTTGGGTCTTCAATTTTGTTCGCCAGTACCATGTTGTTTTTATGACTATAACTCTGTAATACAGTTTAAAATTTGGTGTAGTAA